ATCCCCATCTCCATCCCCATCCCATCCCATCCCATCCCATCCCATCCCATTCCCATCCCACCCTCTGGGAATGCTCCAAGGGCTCGGCACAGCCTCTGCTGCTGGAGCTGTCCCATCCCAAGGGAAATAAATGTCTCAGCAATGTGGGGCTGTGGGGAGATCCCAGGGATGTTCAAAGCTCTGGACACTCGGAAGAGAAGGAGGAACTGGAATTATTCTCTTTAATCACGGCAGAGCTGTCCTGCCTCACCCTCAGCACCACAGCAATCCTCGGATTTCCTCTCCCAAACCTTTTCCCACCCTCCCTTTCCATGGACAGGGGTCAGGCCTGGCTCAGCTCCCCAGCTCCTGCAGGAGAAGCCCAGACCCCGCAGCTCCTGCTCCCCCTTGGGCATTCCCAGGAGGAAGCTCAGGAAGGAGGGTCCTGAGCTGCCACTGGAACCTGAATTTGGGGGATTCTTTTCATGATCTGGGATTTGCAAAGTCCATTCTTTAGGTCTGGGCAGAATTTCACCCCACGAGCAGTGAAGTGGGGAAGTTCCTGCTCCTGGATCTGGGATCTGTGCAGGGATGAGGAGCAGGCAGCCCCAGAGAGCTGAGCAAGGAGCACAGCATTCCTCCCGGGAATGAGGAAAGAAAACTTGAGTGTTCCCAAAGCAGCCCCAGTGCTCAGACACCCCCTGTGCTCCTCCTGTCCTGCCCCACAGCCTCTGCCCTCCCCAGGGATGCAGCTGCGGCCAGAACCAACAACGTTCCCCCTGCCAAGCCGTGGAGAAACCAATCCCACCCTGGCTATTCCAGCAGCAGCCCCATCCCAGCAGCAGCCCGAGCATCCAACACCTCCACGTGCAGAGTCCTGGTTGTATTTGGTTTGGGAAAGTGCGAGACACGGCAGGGAGACTGGCAGCCCCCGGAGGGAGTGAGCCCTGTGTGACCCCAGGAGCCTCCCGAGGACACAGCACCGCCACAGCTCACCCCAGCCATTCCCGCACTCCTCAGGGACCGGGATAAGCAGGAGCTGTCCCGGGATCCCGGCCTGGGCTGCTCCCCGTGGCGATTCCGGGCTGGAGCCGCGTGCAGAGGCCTGGCCAGGGCCGTGCTCAGAGCACCTGCTCCGTGCTGGAGGAGGAGATGTCCAGCAGCCTCCAGGCCATGTAGGGGTTCAGCTCGTCCTGGTCCCGGCACAGGGCCCACACGTAGAGCATCCGCAGCACCTTGTCCTGTGGGAGAACCCCGCCACGGGGCCCCGTCACCTTCCAGCTCCTTCCAAACCCGCAATTCTGTGGATTTGAGGCTCCCCTGTCCCCAAAGCTCCCCCTGCTCAACATTCCAGGAGCGGCTCAGCGGCTCCACCCCACCCCAGGCACTTGATTAAAGCTGAGGTTTGGGCTCCACTGGAGAATTTTAATGCCTCTCCCTGATTTATTGCAGCTCCGGAGGAATCCGACAGCAAACAGACTTTGATATCCTGTTCAATAATTATCCCATCAATATTTATCTCCCAGGAACGCAGGAATTTAATGCAGGGAATCACTGGATCAGCTATTCCTGCCCTGCTTGTGAATCAGCCCAGATGGGCCCCATCGTTCAAATAATTCCCATTTTTCCAGCCCGGACCAAAGGCCAGGGTTGCAAAAGCCGGTATTTGTTAAATGCCTGCATTAATTCCAAGGAAAACGTGCTGGGAAGTGGCAGCTCCAGCCCTGTCCCCACAAAGCCACCGAAGCACAGGACAGGCTGGAGAGACACCTGGGAATAAAGGGACTCCAGGAACCTGCTCCAGCCGCTGCCACAAACCCTGGGATCAGGGAATTCCGTGGGCCAGGCTCCGCTCGGGATCAGCCGGGAGGGAACAGCCCGGGAGGGATTTGCTCCACAGATCATTCCCTGCTCCCCAAGAACCACACACAGCCTGAGCTAGGAGCGGCTGTGGGCGTTCCCTGTGGGATTCTCATGGAATTAAGGCGTGATTTGTGTAAGTGTGGGGAGCTAAAAGCGGGGATTTGGGCATTTTTTCATCCGGTGACTCAACTCTGCTCCCACCCTGTTTGCCAGAGGGCTCCGCTCTGCCAGCGCCCTTCGGGAAAGGGGAAGGGGAGGAAAGGCAGCAGGGACAGGGGAATGGGATGGGCTGGAGCTGCAGTGGGAGATCCCAAACGTGTCCCAGATCCCAAACATGTCCCAGACCCCAAACGTGTCCCAGATCCCAAACCCCAGACATGTCCCAGACCCCAAACATGTCCCAGATCCGAGACCCCAAACGTGTCCCAGATCCCAAACATGTCCCAGACCTCAAACAGATCCCAGATCTGAGACCCCAAATGTGTTCCAGATCCCAAACATGTCCCAGATCCCAAACCCCAAATCCCAGACATGTCCCAGACCCCAGCCCCCAAATCCCAGACCCCAAACACCAAATCCCAGACCCCAGACCCCAAATCCCAGCCCCCAGATGTGTCCCAGACCTGCCCCAGACTCCAGACCCCAGACCCCAAATCCCAGCCCCCAGCCCTACCCCAGACCCCAAACCCCAAACCCCAGACATGTCCCAGCCCCCAGCCCCACTCACCGGGTCTCCCTCCACCACCTCCCCTTTGTGGTTCTTGATCACCATCACCACCTGTGCCTGGAAGGTGATGATCAGCACCGGGCCCTGCTCCATCATCTTCCCCATGGCCAGCTGCAGGGACACGGAATTCCACGGGAATCAATCCTGCAGGGCCTCGCCAGGACAGCTCCCCCCATCATCCCAGGATCCAGCCATTATGGAAAAGCTGCTTCCCAAAAAAACTCCCAAGGAAAAAAAAATCCTCGGGAACCTTCAAAGCTTCCCCCGAACCGCTGGGAATTGGTTTTCATTATTTCCCCAAGTCTGTAAATCTGGGAAATGGGAACAAGCTCTGCTCACTTATTTCCAATTAGAAAGGAAAATCAAAGACGCCCCGCTCTCCAAAAAAACGGAATTTTCTGAAGGAAATGCTTGGGATCAGAACATCCTGAGCTGGAAGGGACCCACAAGGATCAAACAGAGCCTTTTCTCCTGCTTTTAAATCCGTTTTTGCCAGGAAGTTGTTCTGAACCAGACAAAAACTGCACCACAAAGACTTCAAGGTGGGAACCTTCAGTTTGCCAGGATTTTTTCCCTCTGTTCCCAGGCCATTCCATTAAATATTTAAAGGTTTTATTCACTGGAACACATGAGGAGTGAAAATTCAGCTTTTTTTTTTCTTTTAAAACGCAGAATTCTCTTTGTGCCCATTGTGGGAGATCTCTTGCATCCCCTTTTTTGTGGGAGTGCAGGATGCCATGGAATGCTCTGCTGCTCTGGAATTCCTGCCTGTGCTGCCCCAAAAGGAATCACAAGGACTGAGGACAGCAGGATTTTCCCCTTTTGCAATGTCCCCAAACATTCTGTTTTATCCCCAATAAAGGAAGCAGCAGCAGCAGGACAGGCACGAGGCTGGGCCGTGGCACAAAGGAATAAATTGATTTATAGGGAGATTTTCCTGTTCCCTGAGGGAATCTCAGCAGCTCTGCAACGTTCCCGTGCTGATCCCGGGGATCAGCTCCCTCTGACCGCCCCATCCCACCCCTGGAGCTCAACCCACACAAACAAAAAACACTTTTCCAACCCCAGCCCCATTTCCAAGCTGCCATCAATAATCCCCCAGCACCCAGGAGCGCTCCTGGCCAGTGCATCCCTCCCAACCTTCCCACTGGGATAATTCCTCGGGGCTGGAGAGCACCTGGAATGTGCAGAGACCTGGCCAAGTCAGCCCAGAGCTCCTGGCAGGGTGGGAAGGACCTTAAAGCCCTCCCAGCACTGGAATTCCCTGCTAGAACTGGGAATTCCATCTTAGAACTGGGAATTCTCTCCTAGAACTGGGAATTCCATCTTAGAACTGGGAATTCCCTGCTAGAACTGGGAATTCCATCTTAGAACTGGGAATTCTCTCCTAGAACTGGGAATTCCCTCCTAGAACTGGGAATTCCCTGCTAGAACTGGGAATTCCCTCCCAGCACTGGGATTTCCCTCCCAGCACTGGGAATTCCCTGCTAGAACTGGGAATTCCCTGCTAGAACTGGGAATTCCCTCCTAGAACTGGGATTTCCCTCCCAGCACTGGGATTTTCCCTCTGGGAGCAGAAATGCCAATCCCCAGAGCTCAAACCCAACAGAGAGGGTTGGAGCTGATGATCCTGGAGGATTTTTCCAATCTCCACGATCCTAAAAGCCCCAGCTGAGCCCTGGAGTTCAGTTCCTCCCCCGGAGGGAGAGCTGGGCAGGGAACTCACGTCGATGTTGTCGATGTCCAGGATCCTGGAATGGAACTGGAGCCCCAGGGCCTTGGCCTGCTGGATGGGATGGGCCAGCTGGCTGTAGGTCTGAGGGAGGAACAAATCCGGGTTGGGAATTGTTGGGGATGCTCAACACCAAAAAAAAAACCGGGAATTTTCGCTTGGAGGGAGCCAACAAAAAAAAAAAGTCACGTTTTTTTGTAAATGGGCTGAAGGATCAAAGAACTGCAGGAAATGCTTTGGGGTTCACCAAATTCCCAGTGAAATTCCCACTTTTCCTGGGCAGAATGTGAGGACAGGAGAGCACCTGAGAGATGAGGGACTCACAACTGGACTGAACAGCAGAGACTGGGAAAAGCAGGAAAAGCAGGGAAAAGCAGGAAAAGCAGGAAAAGCAGGGAAAAGTAGGGAAAGCAGGGAAAGCAGGGGAATCAGGGAAATCAGGAAAAGC